GTATATCATTTATTCAATGAAAATTTTCAATAATTTCATTTGAAAAATTATGTTTAAATTTTTTTTTAAATAAAAAATTATGTTTTCTCTATAAACTTTATGAATTTTTTTCATCGTTATCTTATCAAACATTTTATCATATCAAATTTTGTAACGTTTTATATGACGCGAGTTTTTAAAACATTTCGAAAACTGGAAAAATTGGAATTTCATTTTTTTATCAGTTGAAAAATGTTTTTCCAAACGCCAGAACGACCACCACGACCACAAACCAGAAACACCATGTTGATGATCAAAAAACTGAAATAAACGATGAAATTTTCGTTTGGAATGGCGAAGATATTGTATTCAATCAACGATACAATGATGAAGATTCCGATTTATCAGAAGAAGATGTCAATCCATGTTAAATGAATTCGAATGTTTATTTCATTTGTATGAATTTTTTTCACTTACAATGACTGGCGAAATAATGGCTCTGATTGTGGATTTGTGTTTCGAACATCAAACTTTGATCCACTTTGAAAATCCACTGAAAATCATCAAAATGAATAAAATCCGTCAGATTAGTTCATTAGCCGAAGGTTGTATTGTTAGTATATATCTATCATTAGAAAATATTGAATATACCTTTCAATTTTCAAATGATCTGATTGAAAATCAAAACGAATCTTTTGAAGTTTTATTTATGAAAAAAGATAAAAATGGTCATCAATTTGCCATATTAAAAGTCATGAATGAATGATTGTAAAATATATGCTGGGAACCATTGAAAGTCGTGTTCCATGCTTCCATTGGCATCAAACGACTAATATGGCCAATCGTGTTTATCATTTATTCAATGAAAATTTTTAATCATTTTGTAAATTGTATTCATTTGTAAATTGTTTTTGTAATTTTATGTTAAATGTTTGAATTCTTTATTAATAAAAAATTATATTTTCTCTATAACCTTTATAATTTTTTTTTCATCGTTATCTTATCAATTTTTGTCACGTTTTATATGACGGGTCTGCAAAATTTCGAAAACTGGAAAAATTCGAATTTTTTTTTTTTTTTTTTAATCGAAAAAAAAGAAATTGAAAAATGTTTTTCATTCATTTCGAAATAGTTTGACAAGACAAGATCTTTTTTGATTTTTAAGCAATTTTTTACGGTAGCATTACCTCTGAAAATAATTATTTTGAATTCTGTCTTAATACAGATTGGGAATTACAGAAGAAAACAAATGGCACAAATGCCTTATTATATGGCAGTATTTTGTTTTAAAATTAAATAAATAAAATATGATATAAAAATCGAACACTGGTTTGTGAAGAGAAAACAACGATCCATAACGACAACAATAAACAAATCATCTAATATTTCAAATCTGGTCATTTTGGTTTTATGTAAAATTTTAAAAAAAATTATCTAAAACTATTTCAACTTTTTGAATTTTGTATTTTCAATTTATTTATCATAATCATTGATTTTATTTTGTAAATAAATTAATTTTAAACAAATGAAATAAAAAACTATCCAAACTAATTCAATTTACATTCAAAATATAATTAATGTGTTAGATTTTTTTTCCCCCCATATAAATTTAGCAATGCATCTTTCCTTCATTCATTTCGATTACACTGTACAATTATTGAATCAATTATCAGATTTTTCTTTATTTTAACTCTCCACAACTAACAACAATGGATCAACAAGAAAAATTTGATATAGTTCATGTTAAAAAAATGGAACGTATTGATTCACGTTCATTTTTTATTGATAATGGATCATGGGAAAATTGTGATTTTTATTTTCTTCATATATCAAATTTTTGGCCAAAAAATCAACAACAATATATACCGTATCAAAAATGGCCAGAAAATGGATCGGATTATGCATTGGCTATTCGTTTACCGATAATATGTGCAAGTTGTCGTCGTCGTCGTCGTAGTCGTCGTATTGTTCAACAAAATGAAACAGATCATTTTACTAATCAATTACAAAATGATTTTATAACAATTCCATTCAATCATATTAGTGATATTACATCACAGGATGAATGTAAAATTGTTTTTACTCTTCACGCAAAAAATTTATCATATACAATTGAATTTTCTAATGATAACAAAGTTAATTTTTTATTACAAACAATTGTTGAAAATATTCATTGTTTTGTATGGGATCCATTAACCAATCATGTTAAACGTAATTATTTTGTAGTTAATCAAAATTCATGGATAGTATATGATCATCGAAGTAAAATTGAAAAAGATGAATATGATTATAATTCTAGTGCAAATTATTGTCGTCAATCTAAAATTGGTCAATCGAAAAGTCAACCACCACGACCACCTACACCATTTCAACGACAATTGAATATGGATCCGGAAATATCAAGAGCAGCAACAACACCAATACCGTCATGTTCTACGGCTAATCTAATGCCGCAAACAAATGCGATCAATAATGATGATGATGAGGATAAAAACACTGAAACAAACGATGAAGTTCCCTTTTGGGATGGTGATGAATTTGATGATTTTGATGATATTGAATACAATTATGAGGATTTGGATCTATCTGATGAAGATGTCGATCCGCCAGAACCATTTCATTATGAATCTGGCGATGATTCTGACATCTGGAATTGATGATGCCTTTTAAGTGATTTTTTTTTCTTATATTCTTATATTTTAATATCAATAAATAATTTTTTTCAATTACAAATTCAGCTAAAAATATTATTCTTATTGAATCAATTCAATGTTTTCAATGAAATACAACAATGAAATTTTATTGGAACCAAGATCTGAACCGATACCATCAACTTCGGGACAGCAATCCCTCAATGAAGTTGAGATTGATGATGATCAACAAACATTAGTTCTGGCTAATGATAATGATGATGATAATAATAATGATCCCTTTTGGGATGAAGAACACATTGATTGAATATTTGCTTCAAAAATTTTTCTAATTGTTTTTAATATAATAAAATCAAATCATTTTTTTTCCCAAAAATAAACAATCTGAATGATTGTTTGCTACCTTTTTCTCAAAAAATCAAATTGTTTGAATTCTGTATAAATTTGGTTTTCAATGTTTTCATTTGGATCAAATTTTTTCACTTACACTATATTCATTATTGAATCTTTAAGAAAAATCACAAAAACAAAACCAAAATGGAAAACCAAGATAAATGGGATGTTGTCCAATTGAATGAAAAGAATTTGAATCCACGAAAACCTTTTATTCGCAATCATTCATGGAATGATTGTGATTTTTATTTCTTGTATCAATCAGATATTTTACCAAAAGAATTGCGTCAAGAATCATCAACAAATTTGCATAATCAGCAAAATGATGGTTCTGATTATCTGTTTGCGATTCGTACAACAAAATCTATAGCGATTCCTCGACATAATCAATTTAAATCAATTCGATTGAGTGAAATTGGTTATATTTATTCAATAGATGATCGAACGATAATTTTTAATAATGAAACAGATAAACTGGAATATACGATGATGTTTACAAACAAAAGTAAACTCCGCTTGTTATTCGAAACTATTTACGAGAAAATCCCTTGTTTTTATTGGGATTTAATTATTACCAATTTCGTTCGGAATACTTATTGCTTATTAAATCGATATTTATCCAGACGAACATATGAAGAATCGGAAGACGACGAAGAAGACGAATATCGAAAACTACTAGCACCACCGAAACGGCCAACAAGGCCACCACGTTTTCAATCAGTTTTGAAACGATCAATGGATATGGAATCGGAATTATTGCGAAAAGCAAAAAAAATTCGATCAAAATCACCATCGCCATCAACATTGTCGTCATCATCAACCTCATCGACTTCATCATCAACCTCATCGACGTCATCATCAACTTCGTCTTCTACATCATCGCCATCATCAACGGCTTCTACATCGTCGTCATCAACCTCATCATCAACCGAAGAAATGGAAGAAGAGATGAACGAAGATCAATACTTGGATTACGACAACAACGATGATGAAATCAATGATATTGATCAAAACAACAACAACAATGATGATTATTATTCATTTTCAAGCGATAGTTCATCATCATCATCATCATCAGATGATGATGAAATAGTTCAACCACCTGAACCATTTTATTATGGATCATCCGGTGATGATACTGATTTGTGGCTTTAATTTTTTTTGTTTGTAATTTTCTGTAATTTTTTGTAAATTTTTTGCAATATTAAATATCGAAATCGAAAAGGAAGATCTTATTTGCTTTGCTTTGTTTTCATTTATCGTTTAAAATTCCGATTATTATCGTTATTTTAATCGTTGAGATTTCGAATTGTTTTTCCCTTGTTGATACCATTTCTATCTATTGTGTAACCTCATCTATGAATGTCACAACAATGTTACTCATTTTTTTTCTGCAGTATAAATAGAGTTTTTTCTTAACTAAAGTGTTTAATCGTTTTTTATCACTCAACGAGTGAACATTCTTTTTC